CTCTCCAGCCTGTCCAGGTCCCTCTGGGTTATATCCCTTCCTTCCAGGGTGTCGACCGCACCACCCAGCTTGGTGGTTTAAAAATCTGTAATATCCTCTAGGAAACGATGCCGTATGTGAGTGTACGTAAAACCAGACAGAATGCCTTACTATTTTCAGCCAGAATTGTTTGTGTTCTTCCCTCTTCAGGTGCTAAAGCTGCACCATCTCGATTTCTAGAAAACCTGTGACATGGATTAGAATGTGTTCAACTAAATCCTTAAGAAATAAAACCAGGTATGTGTTAATTACATGAAGACTTTTTATTTTTTATTTAACAGTAAACAAATCAGAAATATTTGCTAAAAAATAGGTGGATTGCAGCACATAGATTTCTTTTTCTACCATTTATTTTTAAAGACTTATTCCAATGAAGAAAAGATACTTTCTAGGATTTTCAGCATTCAGTATTGTAAACTGCATTTGGAAATCAAAGCTCTCACCTTGTCTAGGAATCAACAAAGTGACTTCTGATGACAGTATTCTGTACAGAATATTCTCCCCATGCAGTTATTCCAACTTCTCCAGCTATAGCAAGAGTATATGCTAATGGAGTGACAGTTGAATTTCAAAATGAAAACAGTTATTACATGTGTAGTTTCTGTCAGTGGCATCTATATTAGCTTCATTTACAGACTTTTCATTAGATAAAACCAGCATATAACAGAAACCCAAACCGTCAGTGCAGAACAGAGTGTGCTTGCTCTCCTACTGCTGCTGACTCCGAAGAGCTAAGAAAATAAAGTATGGGAAATGGGAGAAAACACAACCTCTAGGTAACAAGATCTGATTCAAAGTTGATAAAGGTCAGCGGGAGTCTGTTCATCTCAGAACCTTTGAGATTTGTTTTTACAGAGTAAAAAAATGCCACATTCACATTGTTCAGAGTGTAACAGAAATTACTAAATTGACTGATTTTAAAATCCCCTCTCAAATGCAAAACTACAACAGACTGGACTTCAGGGGTTATCGAGAAGCTACAACTCTCACTCTCTGATAGACTTTGTCTCTAACGAGGAAGTCTTGTCTAGAAGCCCAGTGACAATCCTCGTGACTGTGTTAGTTCTGCTGTTCTTTCCTATTCCTCATAGGTCTCATTTTCAAGAAGGGAAACATGTCAACAAATTTCTTGTGATGTGGGATAATAACAAACTGAAAGCTGTTTGGGGGCATGGTGCACAATCAGAAAACTGTACCTTCCGCTTGGGGAAACTTTCTGAATCTCTTTCTATTTCTCTAATATGAAAAAAAATCCCATAATTTGACAGAGACTAACTCTGCTTAGCAAGCATATCTAGGAGCTCTTTCTCTACGCCTTGGCTGCTCAGTTCATCTAAACTGTAGTACCTATGAACAATCTTTTCATCTGTGACAACTACCACTCGAACCCCATGTGTATCTTCTCCCAGCTGACATCCTATTGCTGATGAAACCACCATTTCCAGTCCTCTGTAGGACCCGCCAGCGTTCCTATGGTAATGTCCAGAAAATACGGCTTTAATGCCTGTTCAAAGAAAAGGAAAAAAGAGTATTTAGTTAGCAGTTGCAGTTTATGTACATGATGTGTTTACAGTAACAGATACTGCTGAGGTGATGTGCTGGGGCCTACACAGCTGCTGGTGCTGCAGAGAAGGTTCCACAGCAAGTGCAGCTACAGGCGTTGTGTTTACCTTCGTTCTTCAGTGGTTCATAAAGCAAAAGTACACCAACTACCTTCTACTTGCATTTTAAACAAATAATTACTAAACAGAAATAAGTGATTCTAATAGTAATAAATAGTGAAAACGTTATTCTGCTCCACTAGCTGTGTCTGGGGTTACTGGACTCTGACTTCTTATGCTTACAGCAAAGTGTGTTTGTCATCTTGCTCCTTGTTGTGGTTTAGGGCCAGTGTGTAACTGAGCACCATGATGCCCCAAAAAAGGGGCTAGACAAAATAAGGACTGGGAGGGCTTCTCACCACTTAAATGGTCACGAGTAAAAGACAGACTCGTCATAAGGAATAAAAACAAAACAATTTTAATTTGTTACTAATAACATCAGAGCAGAACAGTGAGAGATACAACCAGATCTTACAGTCAAACACCTTTCCCCACCCCTCCCTTCTTCCCAAGCTCAGCTTTGTTCCTGGTTTCTTCACCTTCTCTGCTTTGCCCAGGGGCGCAGGGGGAATGGGAACGGGGACTGCAGTCAGTTCATCCTATGTGGTCTCTGCTGCTCCTTCCTTTTCAGGGGTAGAGAGGACTCCTCCCAGCCTCCCTCTGCTTCCATGTGGTGCCCTTCCCACAGGAGAAAAGTCCCCCACTAAAGTCCAATATGGGTCTGCCCACAGCTGCCGTTTCCCTCACACACAAAACTGCTTCAGCCCAAGTCCACAGAGCTCCAATCTGGCTCTGCCCATGGTCACAGCTCCCTCACACACAAACTGCTCCAGCACACACTGCCCGGAGCCACGGCTTCTTCAGGGGCAGCCACTGCTCATGTAACT